TCAACTAAAATCAGTGATAAAATCAACTAAAATCAGTGATAAAATCATGTGGAGGCAGAATAGGCTTGCTTAAAAGGAAAAGTCTTTAAGCCTTTTTTAAAGTCATTCAATGATTGTGGAGCTCTCAGATATTCAGGGAGGGAGTTCCAGAGGCGGGGGGCAGCCACACAGAATGCCCGATCTCCCATGGTCCTTAATTTAGTTCGTGGAAGGAGAAGGAGATGATTGTTCTGTGATCGTAGGGACCGGGTGGATGAATATGGAGCAAGTTAACATATTATTCAGCTCAAATTTAAATTTAAGTAACATTATTAGTATCAAAGAATTATCAAATAATATGATAAAGTAAAACACAAAACTGTTTATCTAAAATTCTACATATCTACTTAAATAATTTGGCAGAGGGCTATAATATCTTAGCGAGGTGATGAGAGCTTTTTTGCTTGAAAGTTTTAACATCTGGAGTTCTTGTATGAAGACAGACCATAATGGCTTAGATTTGCCATATCTGCATTTATGTATATAACATTTTAAGATTATGATAATGTTAATAATAATGTATTCATCTTTGTTTATTTTCAGATACATATATTGGATTTTGAGGTTGGAGCTGTTATGAACTCTCTGAATTTTTAAATCATATTTTCAGCTTCTTGGATTGTTTCAGTTGATTATTTCCAACTTAGAATTCAGAAAATCTGGCTTTTGACCACAAACTGAACAAACTATTTTAGAAGTAAAGGATTACAACTTTCATAAACTACAGAGTTATAAGTACTTACTGACTTGTATACGAGTTGTATTTTCACATTTTTGCCACGTGGCAACTCTTTTGCATTTATTGTAGAATATGCTTCTTAGTTTCAATGTTGTTGTGAGTATTGTATTTTTCTGATTATAAGGCACATTAAGCGAAACAAAGCAGTCAGACACGTCAAACTTTATTCAACTCATTCACAATAACTCAACATTGTTCAGTTATACCACATAAAATCAGTTCGAGGTCAGTAAGCACAACCAGAATTAATATACAAAGTATAAAGTGCACTGTATTATAAGGCTCACTGTCGATTTTTGAGAAAATTAAAGAATTTTAAGTGTGCCTTATAGTTTGAAAAATACAGTAGGTTGCATTAACACCGCCCCATGGAAAAATTTCCTGTCAGTGAAAGATATTTGGCCAGTGTGGTAAGATTCTGAAAGCTAAATCATTCTTTTCTTAACATGAGCATTGAAATTAGTTCTCTTTTTTTTTCTGGTATATTATTGGTTTGTTTCATTTAACTTGAATAAATCAAAATTCAAATGATATCAACATTTGTATACACACTAATAAATAACCGGGTATTGAAGAACTACAAATTCTACAAAATGAAACTACTTTGTCTCTGTTATATGAGTTTTCTCAGCTGAAAACATCCAGACTTTAAATGAATTATATGAGGACAGCTGAGGGTTACTCCAGCTGCAGGTAAAAGGTGTGCAAATAAACAAACTTCCCCTCTCCTCATACTTTGACAGCCTTCTAGCAGCAAGGGTCTACAGTACATGATCTTTGACATCTGAAGACAAAAACAAGGATGAATGTGCTGACAGAGCATGAACTTTTCTCCCTGATTGGTTTTTGCAACGCAAGGTTTGGTAAAGTTTAGTGAAGCAGGTAAAAGCAGCAGGCTGAGCGTGGATTTTTTTTTTTTTTTTTACAAAGTACTTGGAGCAGGGTAAGATTTTATAAAGAGGTAATTAAATCTGCACATTGTGCTTTCACGTCATGTGCAACACTACACGCGTATGCACAAAACTGCTGACTATTAGGGAACTTTTACATTTCCTGTTCTTCTTTCCATTAGTTTCTCTTTAACCCCATTGCATTAAATCTGCCCTTTTCTGGATCACCATCAAAGACCACCTGAGAGATGCATTAACTTCTGAAGCAATGAATTAAAAATAAACATCTTAGCTGTTACATGGATCAAAAACATCAAATGTCATGTAGGCCTGTATTCACACAGGATATTTTGATATCCTCTTTTTTTATTACTGAATTACTGTTTCATAAAGGAAGAGCACATGTCTGTTCCTCTTCAGCCTTTATTCCTTTTAGCTGCAACAAGTCCATCCTTGCATTTATTCTTATGGTTTTATGCAGGTGCTCCTTCTATATTGAAAGCATTTAATTTATT